GTGTGTGTGTGTGTGTGTGTGTGTGTGTGTGTGTGTGTGTGTGTGTGTGTGTGTGTGTGATTCTGCTCCAACTCTGTAATTCACACACACTTATCAAGATTTAGGAGATATTTTCACAAGATCATTTCCTGTTTTCTGCCCAGGTGTCCCCCCTCCTCCCCCTCCTCTTCACACTCATCTGTACTCAACACTTATCGCCGGTAATGTGTTGGACTGTTTCACACCGGAACGCGACGCGAGCGTGTGTCTCCGCCTTCACACAAGTCCTGCTAATACTCCCATCATCCTTCACACTCTGCGGCTCCTAGTCTGGTTTTTTTCACGCACAGCTCTCTCTTTCTCTGGGATTTGCTCATTTCTTTGCGTGCCTCTCTGCTGCAGCATGGATCCTTCTTGTTTTCTGATTCACCAAAATCAGTAAAAAAAAATAAAAAAAAATAAACTAACTGTAATATCCATGCACCAAGTTCTAAAAGCTTTAAAAAAACTTGTTTTGTTGCAGCTTTACAGAGCTCTGACTCTTCATCATGTCATGCTGCTCGTTTAAACACTGTCTTTATTTGTACTCTTAACTTTGCCATCTGTAAAATAGGTGTGGGATATGTTGAGCATAAAAATATTTTTTCCTATGTAGGAGGTGAGCTTAAAGTGAATTAAGCTTTTCCCACATCTCTCATACACAAGGTTATGAGGAAAGTTTTACCAAGGTATTTCTCATTACTTGTTAATATGTTGACTGTGCGAAGTGAAAAGTGACACAATAAGTGAACGTTCAGACGAGTTCAAGTTGATTCATAAAAGACTATGCAATCATTTATTTACACAAATTGAACAGATCATAAGTTACACTTGATTGTGGTTATTCCTATAACAAGCGTCAGAGTTAAATGAGATAAAAACCACATCCGAATTTCAGTTCACATCAACTCAGATTACTTATATAGAAAAGTAAAACGTCAGTTCCGATGTTAACAACCAAACAATTTTACTGGCACTTTTAGCTTAAGTTTTGGCAAATTAAGARCAAGGAAAGGAGGAAAGTAAGATTAGTATGTTACTACTACTTTTACTTTTATCAAAGTGTGGGTC